AAGAAAATCTGTCACCAAAGTACACCAACATCCGACTCTATATATATATACACACACACACACACACACACACATATATACATACTACTACTACATCTACAAAACTTCTACGCCCAAGTGTTGTTTTAAATGCTGTTTCACAGCAGCTATATATCATCTATGGTTGTCATGTAACTTACTGATTTGCATATTCAAAATAACTTTAATATAATGTACTCAACCCTCTGTAATACTTTCCCATATCTTTAACTAACTGTATCATTCACCCCATTTTTTAATACTCGTGTATTACAGTTTCTGTAATTACAAAACGAAAAAAAAAATGCTGTTTAATTATAATATGTACAAAAATTAAGCTTCATCAACACAACTAAATCAGTAGTGGGAAGCATGCTATAAATGGACAACATATCTTTTGATGGGAGAATTTTTAAATGAAAGTGTTACCAACTTGTACCACTTTTAAATTCTCATTACAAAAATAGTATAAAGCAATTCAATCTGACATCAAAATGTAGCTTATAATACAAATTTAATATGTTTTAACTTCTTAATATCAACAGGGAGTATTTGAATAATTTCTCATGCTTCATTTCCTTCACATATCTCTTCTTCTGTCCGATTTCCCACCTTAGATTTTGTTCTACCCCTATATGACCTTTTGAGTTTGGCATAAATTACACACTTATAGTAAAGACATAACTCATAATATAAATTTATAGACTGCAAGCTTCTTGTTTCATTGAGATACAAACAAGATAGTCAAACCTAGGTACTACACCCTTCCTTTCACATTCTGTCTTTCAAAAATATTAATAATTACCTCCAACTTTTGCTATTGGATTATTTATAATCAATAGAGAGAGAATACTCTGTTTTACTAAATTATTTATGAGGCTAGTTCATTCAGGCATTAGGTTTGAAAATATTTGGCTTAAGTTTCATTGTTTGCCTTTTTGGTGTTTGGCTTGACTAGCTAAAGGAATTTCTTAAAATCCATTATAGCCCAGTTACGAAACTAGTGAAGTTATATTAGTTTTAGAATATTTTATTTTTTTGCATAATAATGTGTGTGCTAATTTAAATATTTGGAAAGACTGACATCATAACAAAAAAGTAAGCTTAAGGTGCTTCATCTTCTAATGGCAAAAAGAGTTTTGTTTGTTTGTTTGAAATTAAGCACAAAGCTACACAATGGGCTATCTGTGCTCTGCCCACCACAGGTATCGAAACCCGGTTTCTAGCGTTGTAAGTCCGCAGACATACAGCTGTGCCACTGGGGGGCAGGCAAAAAGAGTCCAGCTTAAGTAGTAATTGTTTTTGTTCTTAAAAAAGTCACTAAAATTTACAAATTAGAAAGTTATTAGGTTAGATAAGAAAACTTAAATAAAAAAAGAAAGAAAAAATTACTTGTGATACACCTATTATAGCACACATACATTGTAAGGCATGATTATAATTCAACTGTGCATGCTTTCAACTCAATTGTTTACACAAAGTTTTTGTCATACTCTAAGAGGGTTTAAGTTCAGTTGTAAAGCAATAAAACTAAATGAACCAAGATTTGAAGAGTCTATTAGCTTTGGCTGTAAGGATAAATTGTGTATAATTGTCTGTTATAATATGAAGTCATTCTTGAAATAAAAAAAAGGGGGGGGGGAGGTAATTTACAATTTATTTCATATTTTTCAACTTTATATTTTACCTTATATTGCTGATTTTACTACCTTTAGTGTTAAGGTTGAGAAAATAAGATAAAATACAAAGTTTTACTAAAAGACCTTTTGATATTCATTTAGGTTAGGAAATTGTAGATGTTATGCAAATGAAACATAAAAACTGTAAGATGAAAAACTATTTTTAAGCTTAACATGTAAATTACTTTGCACTCAGACAAGTCAGAGTCTCAGTCAGAATGACTTAATTAAAACACAAATCTTTAGTAAATATACTTAATTAAAAAAGTTGACCTTTTGTGTACAACAGACTTGTAATGTTTGCAACAATTTTAAAAAGTAATGTTTAAAAGGATATGAATATTGTAAAATGTTTAGTGCATACAAATGTTACTCCTGTGTCAAACACTGCTATCACTGATGAGAAACCACCATACAATCTCCACCCAGTAAAGCAATTTCAGCCACCTTCTTCAACTCAATTGGCAATATTAACTACATGTGGTAAGACAGGTAAGCAAGTTACATAGTGGTTAAAGGTTGGTCAAAATGAAGCTGCATATGCATAGGGTTACCAAAGTCTATAATCCTTTAATGTGATTGTTGTGACTCTGTTAAAAAGTAACTTACAAGTTAAACTGGAAGGTAATGAGAACATATTTTGTAACCACTAAACATACAGAAACCTATATTTTTTTTATTTGCCCTTTTCTAGGGTTATTGAAAAGGGGTGATATTATCTGAAACTAGTAAAATTCAGTGACAGTGGTGAATTGAATGATAGATTGAACTTCATATTTATTTTAAGTAATCTAACATACAATTGTTTAAACATTTTTCAGTGCCAGAGCATTGGTGTTGCTTATATCTGTAAGAACCATAAAACAATTTTCATGTAGGAAGGTACAATTTTGGCTTTAAAAATAATGCAAGGTATAATACATTATTGGCTATGTATGGCTGGTATGCAAGTACTTGTAATAGTTTTCCTATGATTCAAAGCACTAGGAATGACTTTTGAACAACAGATGTATTAAGTGTTGATGGTGATTTTAATTACAATGAGAACATATAATCTTACACTATAAAAAGTTTATGCAGGATTAAAAACAAAATTTAGGTTTCTAAAGTGTCATTCATTATTTCTAGTACCTTATTCAGTTCAATGCACTGTAATGATTTCTTTATAGATTATCGCCTTAAAGGAGCAAGTCCAAGCTTAGCACGTAAAACATTAGACTCTGCAATTTCAAAACTTTCTTTGGATTCTCTTTCACGGCGACTGTGTTTACTCCGATGACTTGACTTTTTCTCATGACTTCTTTTTTCATGTCCTATATTAAATTTTAAAAATGCTTGTATAAATTCATTAAGAAAAAGTAAAAAAAGTAATACCTATAAATATCTTATGCAATTTCAAGTTTACATAATGATATGATATAGTATTCTTCATTAATTATTATGGTTAATGTAAAAACTTTAAGTATCACAACGCACCTGGAGAACGGTGCCTATAATCTCGATCTTTTTCTTTAACATGATAATCTCTCTCTCGAGATCTATGTCGACGACGGTCACGGTCTTCCCTTTCAGTTCTTTCTCGTGACCTTCGTCGTGGTGACCTTTCTCGTTTGTGAGGGGATCTACTGCGAATCCTTTTATGCCTTGTTGGTGAGCTCTGTCTTCTGGATTTGTCATCTTCCCGTTTCTGTGCTGAGGCTAAATAATGTTCTGGAGTGGGGCTTTTCTGAACTGGCTACAATTTTAAACAGTATAAGTTGAAAAGTATATGGAAATATAATTGATACTTGAAACCATCGATACTTGGTGAAACTCCATAATTACAGAATTGAGGAAAAGAACAAAGAAAATTTTTTTGTCAACAACGGTTATACACAAATTTAGTTGACACACTGTTATTTAAAATATTAAAAGGCATAAACTTAAAATTAATATATCAACATACTGTACCAAACGACAATAAAAACAATATGAAATGGTTTGAGATAAGCTACATTAGAAAACCTTCTCACAATATAACACAATGAACAGAGAAATATAAAGACCAGCCTTCTACTGTACAAACAATCTAGATAAAATGTTATGGTGTTTACCAATTAACGTGTCAAGACCGGAATAGTGTATACATATATATAGGCCAAACAGAACATTGACAGCTCCTGACAAAGCTGTAATAGCAAAATATTAAGCTATTAAAGTTACTTTCTGGAGATATACATCGTGATTTTATTTATGTTTATAGAAATCTCTCATAATAAACTCCAGTTTGTGTTAAACAAAGTTAAGAATAAGAATTAAAAAACATTCTAGAAGCTGGAATTTGAGAAAAATGGATTCAACCTTTCAATTTATTGAAACTAAATACCAATTTATTCCAGAAAAAACTGTAAAATATTACATATCTGTGATAAAAGTATAAAACTAAATAGCCTGAAAATTCTAGAAGTAAATAAAAGTCTAAAAAATCCAGAAAAAGTTCTAAACGATCAAACCAACTTAAGCTCCTCCCCACTTATCTCAAAGTGAATGTCAAGGTTACTTCCAATTTTTTGGTTTAACATATATAAACTTGTTTACAAGCTAGTTCACTTTGTACCTGATGATCCCTTTACTGGTGAAACCATGGTTATTAATAAATGAAGTATTTGTGAAATGTACAATTATCTTTGTTCTTTCCCCAGTTCTGTATATGTATATTGTAAAATGTCTAACATACAAAAATATTACTCCTGTGTCAAACACTGCTATCATTGAAGTAGTGTTAGCCACCTTCTTCAACTCAAATGCAAAAAAAAAAGAAATAAGACTACCACAAGCAAATATAAACAAGGTACTAAAAATGGAAAGAATATAAATATAATTATATTAATGAACTTGGCAATATTAACCACATGTGGTAAAACAAGCAAACCAAGATAATCTTCTGAGAGAATCAAATCAAAATCATTCTTATATTTTTAAGCATTAGATAATATGAGCTTTCCTCTTCAATTTAAATTTTTTTTCTTCTCTTCTAAAAAAAAAACTCTGTGTTCATAAACTTCTAGTCGCATATGCATTATCAGTATTGATTAACTATAAGTAATTATATTAAAAAGATTCCTAGTATTAAGTATTTAAAATTATTTTGAAAGAGTTGAAACATTTAGTAACAAAATTAACATATTACTGTATTCTCATAACTTGTGCATAACAGGTGTTTAAAGGAAAATCAGAGGTACTGGTAAATACCTCAACTATATATCAAACCACACCAACAATGTAAAGATGGGTGTTACATGCTGGCTAGTTTCCATAATAAATGAGATTTGTAATATAGAAGATGTTATGAAGGAATAAGAAATTACTACTACACTTCTTGAAAATGGATGTTATAAATACTTGATAAAGAAAATAATGAGGATATATGTAAATAATAGAAATAAATAAAATTAACATAAAGCCAGATTTCCTTATGTCTAAGGTATCCATGAAACAACAGAGGATATATGTAAACAGCATAAAGTCAAAACAGTGTTCATAAGCCACAACATACCAAACCACCTAAAAACCCAATGATAAGGAAAAACATCATTTACATCTTTAGAGAATGTGAACACCAATATATTGAAGAAATAAAAACCAACAAAAGTCACAATTCAGTAGTATAAAGAGCAAAAATCATAAAAGTTTTTGTAATACTGATCTAAAATGGCCATAAAATAAAATTGAATAATAAACAATATTAGAAGAAAAAACACACATGAAAAAAGAAAGATGAGAAGGCCTTCTACATTTATCTAATTGTTAACACATTCAGTCAATCTAGCATGAAAGTCAGCTAAACCTGGATATCCCTCTTGAAATCATTCAAATACTTAATTCAAGTCCTAATAGAGAAGAACCCAAACAAGTGTAAAGCACATTAGCCTTTCTTTTAAAAAATTCAGAAACAAAACCTGGCCATTACAACCAGAAATATTTTTTTCAGGATGTCCCTGAAGACAACAGCAGAAAGTTAGCATTTGAAACACAGTAACTAAAAAAGTAACTAATAAATAATTAGACTTAAGTGATCATATATGTTACTAGCCATTACAATAACTGATGTATGATTGTCACACCCTTACCATAAGTACACAAGTGTTTTAATTCCACAGTAAGACAATAAATGGATAATTTAATCTACTAGTTTTATAATCTACTTTCCAAGGTTTTATCACATAAATATTGTGTTGATTTTTTCATTACATTTTACAATCTGAAAACAGCATATTCTAGAATATTCCAACCTTTTCTTCTTCCTCTTCTTCTGATTCTACATCATCCAAATCATCATCTAAAGCACTAACTCTTGGATCTAATTCATTAAGTTCTTCTAAAACCTGACGTTTCTAAAAATATTCATGAATAAAGATTTTCTGATATAAAATACTGTATGATAAAATACAAAAAACAACACTGTTCAAAAAATACACTAAAGGAAAGAAAAACATTTTTCTATTTTCCTTTTTTTTTATGTATTGCTGTGTTATTACAATGCCCAATTATAGAAAAGTCAATAATGCAAACTTCTGTGGTTTCAAATAGAGCAAAATCCGTTACACTTATATAACTGCTGGGAGAAAAAACAGTTAAACCAACTATTTTAGAAGTAGTTATAAACTCAATGTTATTACAAAGTATAGGTTCCAATGAATGATGATAAATATTTGCAAGAGATTAAGTTCTCTTTTCTCTCTGTAATCATAATAACACTAACTGCTACATGGATTGAATTAGACAGAAAATAGCTTATTATAAAACATAGAAGAGTTTATAACCTAGTGTAATATATTAGCACAAATACCTGGTTGAAAAGATATATACAAAATCTGAAATAAGCTGTTCATCTTAGCTTTCATTTAAAAATACTTGCCTGTATTCTTGGTAAAATTACATCACAAATACGCTCTTCATGAAGTAATTCATCAATAAACTCATCCATGTAGACTGCTTCATATGCTAAAATAGTTTTACATAAGGAACAAAATTGGTTAATTCTTAAATAATTTAAAAGATGTTTACATTTGAAAAGCAATTACTCTAAAATGAATTATCTTTGTTAACTTTGATTTAGAATCTTACATTTTCAACAGATACACAAAAATCGTATAATATCTAAAATTAGTACTGATTCAATAGAATTGAAGTTTTTGTTTACAAGCTTTCAACAACAACTTTTGCTTTATACAAAAACAAAATGCACTTTATACTATAGGCAAAATTTTGAACATAGAAGAACTTGAAAGCTTGAAAAATATGTTTACTTCATAGTTGACTTTATTCTTCTTTACAAAAACCTTTTCAGTTTTACGTTATGTATCTGAACTATTCAGTATTCACGTCTTAAACTTCATGAATCAATACACAAAGGTTCAACAAAATTTCTGAAATGTTCAGACAAATAAACACTACTATATTAACTTTGTACCACAGAGCATCTATCATGTGTAACTGCATATACAATTTTCAAATTTATGTACAAATGATAATTATTATCCTTATTTCAACAATCTTTAACTTTAATATATTCTAGAATTCATTTTGTTCATTCTGTAACATTTACTTAATATAATTCTTAATACTCAAAGAAAAATGAAAAACAAATGCCAAATTTTCATTTCAAAACAGCTTCAAGGAGTTTTATCTGTAAGGAATGCTTTTATAACTTTTTAAGTGTTTCTGCCCATTCCAAATTCCAAAGCAAAGGTTAATATTTGCTAAGAAACTATCATCCTTTGAGAATATAATTACCTATATTTTATTTATTATGTTTCACTGTATTTTTTTAATATAGCCTTTCATTCCAACCATTTTATATCACAGCATGTGATCTGAAAACTACCAATGAAGCTAAGCTTTGGAATACCTAAATAGAAGCTTTAAATATCATTGGATAGAGCAGAATATACATTATTTACATAAATGTACAGTTGATAAAGTGGTATAAAAAGTAATTTATGGTTTGGGGGGGGGAAGTGGTTAGAGAAGAACGATAGAATCTTATGGGAAGACAAAATAACAAAAAACAGATCTGGGAATATATTTAGTATTTTTTTTTACATGCTCTTTTTCTTCCTGAAAATTTTTTCATATTAACTTGTATTTGTTTGAAAGGTATGGATATTTTCTTCAGGTAAGCTTAGTTAGGTTTAGCTAGTTTAGTAGGCAATGGCAAAATGTTACAATGATTGAAATCCTCATTTACTGAATATTATTGTTAAGTTTATCATATTCAGACAATACAAGTATATAACTTATTATTAAGTGAAAAAGAAAGCATATCTATTAGATATAAGCTCATCTCAACCAAGAATATTTTTGCCAAAAATACTGTTACTTAGCCATTTTGAAAGGTCTGGCCGTAGATCACTGATAAATCAGTTTTTGTGGTGTTTTCTTTTTCAATTTAAAGCTGGAAGTGGTGACTATTATAATTAGCAAAATAAAGTATCAAAAGAAATATATTAATGAATATCAACCAAGATGAAATTTATTGAGAATATGAAATGGAATTTTTAACTTAAAATGTAAACAACAATTTTAATCCTAAGACTAAAGGAATTATTTTTCAATATTTTTGAAAACAGGTCTGACAATAAAAATTTACAAATTTAAAGACATAAAAAATGATGGAAAACTAAACTAAATTATTTAAAACTTATAAAAGTCAAAACTAGATAGTACCTAGTAAGTTTTTTTTCAAGTTTCATGTAATTTGTTAAATATTTCTGCTGTGAGAAGGAAAAAAAAGTGACACCCCTCTCCAGTCCCTAAAGGGTTAAGCTCATGATTAACTCAAATTCTTGTAACATCCATTTTACAGTAACTTTTATATTATTGCATTAACTAACCTAGTATTGTGTGTCCTCTTGTTACAACATGATTAAATTAAACTTATGTTCAACTCACAGCCCTGTCTGTTTTGTCGCCGAATCTTCCGGTAATCATTATACAGTGGTTCTAAATATTTATAGGAATCTATAGAAGTCCCTACCAGTCGCATATAGAATGCTCCAAGTGCTCTGACATACCTGAGGAAATGTTTCAATAAAGATCAAATTATTATTAAAAAAAAGAAAAAAAAGAAACACAAATAATGTTATTTGAAAGAAAAATTTTTTTATGCAAGTAACATATTAATTAGCTTGATCTCAATTCACATTTTATTTACTGATTATTGTGTCGTGCCGCTCACTTATATAAAGGACATTATTACCATAATATTACAAAAATTAGCTTTATATAAATTTAATATTTATTAATAATTTCAAGAAATCTGCTTTTTATACTTAGCCCTAAAAACCTTGTTTGTAAATAACTATTAATCATAGCTTTTGTCTAGCTGATAGATACAAATAGACTATAAGCAGATAAAAGATTTTAAACCAATACTATACATGGGTATGACATATGAAAGGTAAAGAACAGTTAGACTCACTTAAAATCTTCTTGACGAATGAATTCAACAACAATATCCTTTTCAGGCTGAATTTGTAACATTTTAAGGACCAAACACAGGAATGGAGTAGGTTTGATGTTTCCACCAAAAACACCTCCTATGTACTTTAGTTCCATAGCCTTATCCACAAGTAACTCAGCTAAAACAAACATTCATTAAAACAGCTGTACTGCTAAATGCAATTTAGGACACAAAAGATTTGTTTAAAAAGCATACTTGCAATTTCATTTCAATAGTCATAGTGAACAATATATATACAAGTAGTCTATTTTCCACAATATTTGTATTTCTTAAAGACTACCAACCAAGGTTCTCCCAATGTCTAGCTTACCTTCTAAGCATAAGCAATTGCTTATACAGAGGAAATAATTGAATACTGTAAACCTATTGTTAATTAAGTATCTATGAAAATTAATTTTCCAAAATAATCTAACACTAAAGTCTAAAGATTCAATGTTTAAATTATTATAACAGCATAATACTTAATTTTGGTGACATTAATAATATCAAAATTATAGAAAAAGTAGTGAGGTGTACAACTGAAAAAAATAGTAGTTTTGCCATTTATACCAAGCATCTACATGAACACCAAGTGTTAAGGGTCAACTCATTATGTCTAAGCACAATAAATACGAGTTTTCTGTAATACATTTTACAATAAGTCTTTGTGAGTATAAATATTTTTAATGCTGATATTTATACATTTTTAGTTAAATGCACTTTCTGTTATGTGATTATGATGATTAATAAAAATGAAATTCTTTTATGACTACCTAACTTTATAAGTATACCTACTGTTTAACACCCAGTGTCTAAGTATATATCTAATTAAAAGAGAAATAAATGAGTGTTTGTGTTCTATTCTTAATAACTAAATAACTCCAATGTAATGAAATAACATAAGTGATGACGTAAAAATAATAAAATAACTGATCAAGTATGACCACAGTCTAGCAATTAAACTAAAGTTTCTTATCTAAGTTTATAACTCATTTGAAGACCATTGCTAACTTTTGTAATGCCCTATGCAAAACTGAAATGGTTAGGAATTAGTGCAGGTATTAGGGGCCTGCAATTCGTGGGGTGCAACAGATGCTGATGCTAGGATAGAAAATTCTGGATTAAAATGCACTTTTAGAGAGGCTAAAAGTGAGGTTGTGCCATTTATTTGCAGGTTGGAAAAGAAAGTAGAGTTTGTATTAATTACAGTTGCTGAGTTTATGAAAGAGAAGTGCAAATTGTAGGAAATGGCAACAGGGTTTAAAGAAGAACATGAACATTGAAGTGGATGGGTTTCAGTAGATAAAAAGGGTTTTTCAGGAAAATAAAAATGATAATGGGCAATAAGTTTTGAAATTAATGCACTTAGGTCAAGGGAGCATGTTGTATTAAGCACCAGGTTTCAGCCATTAACTAGAGAAGGAGGAGAGCAGAAGCAGAGAAGGGAAATAGATGGGATGGAATGATAGTGATAAAGGGGTCACAGTTGTAGGCAATTCTTTGATAAAGATATGCAGAAAGAATAGTCTGTGTGGTAAATATGGAGAAAAGCATAAGATTCCACTATGCAGAGACAAAGTTGAAGAACATAACTCATAACAAGCGGAATAATAAAGGGTGATAGCAATAATGCAGTTTTTTTTTTTGGCACATGGACCTAATGATACAGGAAAGGATAGGTCAGAGGAGCTAATTAATAAGCAGTGTAGGATAACATGAAAAGTTAATAACTCTAACATCAAATTCATAATACCCTGTTGAATGGCACTCTGTAGATGGTTGAGACGTTCATACTTTGACTACCACCCTTGCACATAGGATTAAAGGTAATGTATGTGGGTTATCATAATTTAAATTACACTAATAATTTTGATAGGAGTAACCTTAATAGTGTTATCAGAGAAAAGAATCTTGGTATTTTGATTGATCAGTCTCTTAGGCCATGCAAGCAGTGTGCTGTTGCTAGTGGTATAGTACAGGTTGTACTTACAGAAATATTGCACATAAATCTAAAAAGGTTACCATTTCACATATAGTTCACTGGTTAGGCCTCACATGGAGTATTGTTTACAATGAAGTAACTGATAATCTGACAAAAGCTGGTGTTACTTGTAAGGCCTAGAAAGTAAAATACATATACTACCAAAGCAGTCTTTTGGAAATCCCAACCTCAACAGAGGGTACTAAGCTGAGGCAGATGTGCTCAACACTGTCTGTTCTCCCCTACACGATGTAGATTTCAGGAGGGAGAAAAGTATTGCCTGTCAGTCTAAACCAGCCATAAGGTAGGCTCCACTGTCTCCAGTATATAGGTACAGAGAAATAATAAGTTGGTTGTGGGAGGTACAAAAAAAGGAATAATTCACAATTCACCTTCTTCTTAAAGCTTCTGTTAATTAAGACTGAAGAACAATGACTGTAGGGAAACGAAAACAAGAGGCAACTGAAATCACAATATGGTGTAAGTAATGTGACACAACAGTGTCAGGGGTTGTCCATATCCCTGCTTGCAAGATAACTAGAAGAAAGAGAAGTAGTAACATGATGAACTTGACGAGAGATGACACAAAAACTAAGAAAGACATCATCACCCATAGAGGAATAAATTAGCTGAATGAGTTGTTTCACTCAACTTGTCAAAGTGGAAGGAAAGAAGTCACAAAATGAAGAAGAGTCTGCCTGGAAAGGGAGCAGTAAAAATAAGATAACAATTAACTGCCCAAACAGGGCAAAGAAGACTATTGGGATCAGAACAATCTTGTGGAGAAGAATGAGAAAGGGATGATTGAAAAAAAAACATCCACTTACCTCTCAGATTGCCCAAGTCTTAGGGAGGAAGGAAAGGTCTCAGATTAAAATCAACCTGTCCCTATGGTAAACAGTGAGGGAAGCATCCAAGGAAAAATGTCAAAGTGACATCTCCTGCAAGCAAGAAGAAGAAAATACATCTTTACAGAAAGATGATATAGAGAATTGATGGTAAAAAGTTCTAATGAGGGTCACATGGAAATCATAGAATTAAACAGAGGTTCCAGTCCAGGGGAAAAGAGACGAGATGAGAAAGACTCAGAATAAGTATGTAGAAATTAGAGAAAGAAAAGAAGAATGGCCAGGGAAGAGACTAGAGGTCATTGAAAAACATCCAGAAAGAGACTGAACTAATCCTGACTCAAAGCATCCAGTGTTGCAATGTCCTAGACAGGTGACCAGAAAAGTCTTGGTGATAAGAAGAATCACAAATATGTTGATATGAGTACTCCCAAAGTGGGAATAAATCCATTGAAATAACAGAGGATGCAAAGGCCACTCCACTGAAAGGATCTGGTATAGGTGAGACAGCTGATCTACCATAAAGTTCAAAGTTCCCGAGACATGACAAGCTGACAACTGAAGGTAGTGGTCATGTGCCAAAAACAGAAAATCAAGAGTCAGAAAGCAGAGGTATCGAGTGTGAGTGGCTCCCTGTCAGTTAGTGTGAGAAATTATGGTAGAGTTGGATAAAGGGATCATAACAAGATGACTAGATAGAAAATGATGGCAAGCTTCTTAAGCAACCAACATAAGTATATTTATTTGGAAAGACCACTACCCTGGAGACCTGATGCATGAAAGAATGCTGGTGTCCAGAACTGCACCATACCTGAATAGAGAAGCATCTGTTCAGAGATGCAAGTCCAGGTGAGGTGGGGAAAGAGAGATTGCTCAGGGTCATTAGGATCAATGAACCACCATGACAGTATGTGGTGAAGAGATGGAAGGAGACACATGAGGGAAGACACTGGGTCATAGCCAACCTGAAGGGAATGGGCTGTATCTGAAAATGATGACTGTAATGGAGAAACTGGTGGAAGTGACAGACAGTCAAACAAATCAGAATTTAGAGAAATGCATCTGAAACATCAATCTTGGTCATCAACACCATCGACTGAGAAAACTATCCACCTTGTACCAAGGAATGACAAGAAATTAGTTTAAGGATGCTAAGTCTATAATAGGTTAACAATCTCTTTTCTTCTTAGAAATGACAGAGAGATAGGAAACTATTCTTCTTCAGAAGAACAAAGGGTCTTATTTTAAGTCTATAACACTTTATATGTGATCCTTTGTGCTAACTCTTTTATCAAAAGAGAGATAGGAATATAGCCCCAGAATGGGGTAGAGGAACTGTTTCACAATGTTCATAACCTGGAGAGAATATACAGAGAATCAAAGAGATCTGAGGGTGTGGAAAGAGAAAGTTGAGTGTGGAAAAATGGTAATGAGAAAACAACTGTATGACCCAAAGGTCTTCTGCAAAGACTCTTCAGGCACGCAAAATGGGAGAGCTGGGAGGGGGGGGGGTATGTGAGAAAGTAGCAAGAGGACAAAGAGCAGAAGGGGCAACTATATGAGGCTCCCACAGATAAGAAAGATGTTTGGACACCCTAGAACAAAAACACAAAACCAAAGTGAGAAGAGATAATTGCTGATGAGTTTAATCAGCTTGAGTTTCCAGTGTATAAGTAAACCCCCAAAACTTCATCTTATGAACACCAAAAAATAAGATAACTGGAGAAGGACTGGTTATTTCTATTCATTATAAATATGTCTATCAGCCATGTAAAGTTGATTAGCAAAGAATCAGAGGGAGAGAGGAGGGATTTTTCTGTGTGTTGATATCTCAGCAAGTCAAGAAGTACGAAGTTAAAATTTTATATTCTTGCTCATAATTAATATAGCTTGTGCTTCTAATTAATTGCAAGCTGCAGCGGTTTATTTTTGATCTAAGAAAATTGTGAAGGGGACAAATTGGAAATTAGGCATTTCACATGACATAGAAAAATGAAAATTGAGAATTTAAAATTTTCTTTTAACATCCATGATTGTAAACTTTGTTGATACCCCTTGGTGTTAGCCCTGTTGTCATAGGCATTGACCTGAACAATTCATAAAATTTAATCCAAGCCACATTAGTTCTCTATAAAGAGCTTCTGCCAGTGGATGGCCAGTTATGTCAAAAACAATTTATAAAATGTGCAACAACCTCAGCATTAAAACACCATTGTTAAGAAACCACACAATACAAGATAATTACTCACAATAATCAATATCATGCAATACAATCCATAAGTACAGAATAGTATTTTGATACTTTGGCAT